AGCAAATGTTTACTTGGCTGATAAGATCCAGTAGGCACATTCTACAGACATTCAATCCATCTATACCAGTAATGAACTAAACTGAGAAACAGCAATAGTAAAGCATGGTCCTGTTGTCACTCCATGCTTATTTTTACGGTCCGTCTTCCCTTAAGGCATTCTACAACCCAGGTCTGCTCTAGGACAATGGGTTCCTTTGTGCAAATGCACTAAGGGTGCTCCTGTTCTGAGTAGGAAAAACTCCATGCCAAGGCACCTGGCTTGGCCATGAGAATGTGGGCTACATCTTATCCCCATCTGTCTCCTGGTCCGTGTGTGTGTGTGTGCAGTGATGAGCTTGCATAATCTTAAACATAAGCCCTAGTCCACCCTACTGTCCTGGGTTAGCTATCCAAACTTGCTCATTCAGGGTAAAATTATGTCTGAATAAGTAATATCTCTTCAAATTAAAAGACAAGTCTGCTAATGTGAGCCTCCAGGGCAAGAAGCAAAGATGTGGCCAACAACTTTTTGATCAAAGACCCTTCACTGTATCTTCAGATAATAAAACCCAACCTGAGATCACCTTTTTTCTACATATGTACATACATATTTATTTATTTATAGACAGAGTTTTGCTCCAAGCTGAGATATAGTGGTAAGATCTTAGCTCACTGTAACCTTGAATACCTGGGCTCGGGTGATCCTCCTGCATCAGCCTTCCACATAGCTGAGACTACGGGCATGTGTCAGCACATTCAGCTAATTTTTCTAATTGGTGTTTTAATAAAATGGGGTCTCATATGTTGCTTAGGCTAATCTTGAACTCCTGTCCTCAAGCAGTCCTCTCACCTTGGAATCTCAAAGTACTGGGGTTACAGGCATGAGCGCTGCAACTGGCCTTGAGATCACACCTTCTAACAAAATATTTTGGGATATGTTAAGGAGGATAATTCGTAGTCATATTACCCTCTTGGACAAGAAACAAAAAGCACCCACCTGATATTAATATATGTGTAGGCTCAGCACCTGTGGCTCAAGTGGCTAAGGCACCAGCCATATACGCCTAAGGTGGCAGGTTCAAATCCAGCCCGGGCCCGCCAAACAACAATGATGGCT